GTAATACGATCACGTTTAATACGACTTCTCGCGTAATACGCCATTTTACGTAGGTCCCTACATTTCTTAGCGCTTAATACGATGGTTATTCTTCCATCGATGACAATTTGGCATCACACGAGATGCAAACTATGGAACATCACATTGAAATGCTAATAACATGAAGGCTCTGAGTGATAGTGATACGAAGATGAAACAACTCCAATCTTGTCAAACCCCTAAGCATTATCAGCAGTGAATGATTTAAGACGCAACGTACCATCTTTAGAGAAAAGCGAAGATGCACTTCAATATTTAAATTATATTGAGAATGTAATCATCAACATTTTTCTGTCAAACCAAAATAAATGATATAAACGTATCATATACTCGTAATAAAAATTATACAAAGTACGTAACGTTTATAAATGTTACATTCAATACCTATATATATATACGAAATTAGAAACGATTAAATAAAAACGCAGTAATTTAATAATACAGAATACGTGTTATAACCCCTATCCCGTATAACACGCTTTCCCGTGTATGACGAGTTTTTGGCTTGGTCCCTTGGAAATCATATTACCGGAGTTCTTCTTTATTTATGTAATTGCGCAAACATGTCGCCGGTGCGCTGCGTTAATGTTAACACTTGAATTTCCCTTAACTTGAATGTGTTAACTGCTGTAGCGTGTCAACTATAACTGTGGCAGGTTAGTGTTAAATGTACATCGCAGACGACATCTCTTTAATATTTTTGTGAAAGTGCGCACATTGCTGTGTTTACCCTTTAAAGATCAAATTCTGAAAAAAAAACGATATTTGACAATTATAAACGCGTGTTTTATATTAAGACAAGTTTAATACTATTTTATATTCATCCTGCTTTAATATAAGAACGCGCTAATAATTGTCAATTATCCTTTTTTTTAGAGTTCAACCATAGGTATGTATCAGTGCATGACCAAGTGCCGAGGCGCACCCCCAACATGCAAATCAATCAGTACTAGGGACATGTGAGAACCCTTTGCTGCGGGGCGGGGTCGAGAAACCCCTCAAGCTCTTGTCGTATCGTGTAAATTACGTCAATTGTACGACTTCTTTGTAACGGAGCTGTTCCGACACGCCGCCGCCTCCACCGCCATCACACGCGTCGCTACCCGGCGTGCACCAATCATTGTTTCTTGTTGAATTCCTGCAAATGAAATATTGTCACATTTATGTATTTATCTGCTGACCGCCGCGAGCCGTGACATTTAAATGTGATTGCCCAATCAGTGGCTGCCAATTTTGTTATTATACATTCTTGAATGCAAAGTAATTGTCACTTATAAGATCAAACTACATTCAGTTATAAAACAAGTACGCAAACCACTATATTATGTACTATTAATGAACCCACGGAGTTGAATCTGTAATAACTTAACCTTGTCTTCCGCTACCAGAAACTCCTCGAGTAGCTACTCTCTGACGCCTTTTCGTTTTCCTCTCCTGTCGTCGTGCGAGGGCAGAGCCCTTTGTTTGGTGACAAAGTCGGTCCCTAAAACCGCAACGAGGTCGCCTGCGTGTGTCATACGTACTGCTTTATAATAAAACAACTTCGATGTTAGCACTTTATTTGCATTGTGCCCACACTTCCCAGTTTGCTTTTCAACTAAAAGCAATTTGTTTTTTTTTTTCTTGTGTTTATGCATCCGCATTGATTAAAATACTTGTCGATTGACGATGTCCTTGT